CTTCCCCCTCCCCCCAATACTCTTAACAGAATCTGCTCTCGAATACCCACACCGAATTCCAAAATATCCCCCGGATGCTCGCCCCGATTCGAATCAAGCGTATTCGGGCGGCGGTGCATTAGCGGCAAGGAAAGTGGAGAAAGGGACAGCCGCTCGAGACGCTCGCTCCTGAAGGCGTGAAATCGGCGTGGCAGCCCTCGTATCGGGGCGTAGGCGATGCGTGGCGAGGAACGCGGCCACGCCTCGCCGAATTAGAAAGTCGAGCGCGGATACGCGTGAAAACATCGTCTCGATCCGCGATTAACGATCCTCGGTGTCGACGTATTCCTCGAATATTATTATTCCACCTCCAGTCTTTCCTTTTGCTCCGAACGTATGAAAGTTGCGGACGAAAAGATGCGAAATCAAACCGTATCAAGCGTTAATCGTACGTCGATTTTCGAAATATCGTAATATCGTAATATTTTCTCCGTACTTGTGGATGAATGAATGAGAAATAAAACGAGATTAAAATCAGGCTACGAAATAGGGGGGAGGGGAGAATGGATTTTGTAGAATTTTATATAAATCGATCCTCCTTTTTCCCTTGGATCATTCTTCGTTCGAAGTAGAACTGGAGGAAATTTATAGAATTTTTGAGGTCGGTGTTCGTTTTCGTGTCGGGATATCACGAAAATCCCAAGAATCTTTTATCTCGAAATCATCTGGCGCAAGACGTTTCGACTTGTTCCGTAGCCTGAACATTGTCAAACACGTGTTACAGATGCTAGAAAATTCTTTCTTCGATCCTTTCTTCAAAGTTTCCTTAGAATTTTGAAAAAATTCAACATCACTGGTAACAAATTATTCGGGTAATTGGCATTTAACTGATTCTCTGAAATAGAAAGGTTCATCCTTTCGCCAGAGTGGAACGAATGGAAAACGAGACGAGACGAGACGAGACGAGACGGAAGCCGCGACGATCGACTCTCTTCTCTTCTCACAGGTGAATCCTCCTCCGTAGGTGACGTCCCCGGAGGTGTAGGCGGGGGTACAAAGGGCGGACCGGGGGCAAAAACTGTGAAGCGTTCTGTAGAATTTTCAATAAGGCGGGGTCGGAAGAAGAAGATTAATGCAACGCCGCCGGGGGACCTTAGGAGACGACAGCGACATGACTGTCAAAAGAACATCCCCAGGGGCGAGGTCCATTCGCTCCTTCGAGTCCGCAATCCCCGTCCTGGACCCCATTTTCTTCCTCCTCCTCCTCTTCTTCTTCTTCGTCTGCTTCTCCTTTTATTTCTTTCCCCTTTCCCCTTTTATCCTTTTCATATTTCTTCCTATTCCGTCTCGCCCGTCTCCTTTTTTCTTCGTGTCCTTGATCCTCTCCTACATAATTGCTTCTTCGATCTCTCTTTAATCCTTTCCCGTTAGACGAAAGGGGATCCCTCTTCGATCGTGATTCGTACTTCTCACTATTCCCTTCTCAACTTTATCGTTTATCCCACCATTTTTAAAAAATGATTTCCTAATAATGTGCTCGATGAGATTGGATACATTTCTTCTTTTTCTTTTTTTCTTTTTTTCTTTTTCAGGTTAAGAGAACGAAGGGATTAAGAAACCGATGGATTGTTTCCAAACCAAAAGTCTCGAGTCATCTCCCTCGCAGACAGCGAGTAGGTGTCTGGAAAGTTGGCGCCCTATGGATTACACGAGAGTAGATTGCGACGTCTCTCTGTGTCTCTCTCTCTCTCTCTCTTAAGGACAGATCGTCCAACAGAGGAAGACAAAGCTTATATACCTTTATAAATCTACCTCTGTAATTTTTCTCCTTCCTCCATCTCTCCATCGTTTATCCGATATCTTCCCAATTAGACCTTATCTCGTACTCCTCCCTCGATATTTACTCCTTTCTCTCGTCATCCATCTAAATTTCATCGTCGCCACGTTGCCAATGAATATGCGCGTCTTTCGTCAAAAAGCGACACACTCTGGGAGAGAGGAGTTCTCTTCTCCATGTTTTGAAGAAAGAAATATCGAAGAGAATTAAAGTCTACGATTTAAAAAATTAACTAACATTCTCAGAATTTCTCTTCCTTTTTTCCCCGCTAAAAATAAAAATAAGAATAGACATTTTTCCCAAATTCTTCGATTTTATACTCGTGGATAACCGCACACCATTTCCCGTGCATAGAAAATTAAACAACTCCTTCCATTCTCCTCGAAGGGAAGAAGAATAATCTCGCCCCCGTTTCCACTCCTCGACAACAACCCTCTCCTCCTCCTGTTTAATCGAGAGAAGAAAAAGAGGAAGAAGAAGAGAGGCGCGCGCGGTGCAGGTGCAGCCGCCTCGAGGCACCGAAGCGAAACGAGGAGAAAATGTCTCGGCCGCTGCCCAGCGATCGCAACTGCGATCCCCTCCCCCTCACCCTGTCGAGGGGGGGAACCGCGACGCATGCACGCAGTTCGATCAATCACACGCGTCGACGGATGCACGCGGTTGCTGGAATCGAACGTGGTTCCCCAGAGTTAAGGGTGAAAGTTTCACAATCGGTGGACGATGACAACGATGATCGGCCTCGATTTAACGGAGAAAAGATCGAAACGAAAGTTTTAAACTCTTGCTTTATAAGCGATTTGCAAACGTAATCCCAACGTAATCTTCGATTCACATATTGCATTATCTCTTTGAAAGAGATGAAACGATGAATCTTCGAGATGGATAGAGTCGTTCTTCGATGGTCTTTTGAGTCGTTTTTCTTCTTCTTCTTCTTTTTTTTTTTTGAGTTGGCAAAGGGTTAAGTAGAGCAACTAATCGATTAACCTGATCGAGGGGGGAGGGGTATGGGAGGAGTTCTCCGGCGGAGAAGCGTTCGGGCGAATATTTTAATGTACACGTAGTAAATGGAGTCACGGGGGCCAATCAGGCTTCCGCGGAGAAATCTTTTAATGAATTCTTAATGGAGTTCGTTGCAAGTTTAAAAAACTTGTTTATCGAATCCCGGGGACTGGAATCAATTATTCAATCGCCCCTGCTAAGAATATTCGATTACCACGAGAATGTTTATCCCAAATCTTTCCTATTTTTAAAATAATTCAAATCTAATTAACTGATATTTTTAAAAATATATATATATATATAAATTACCGCCGAGCCGAGCAACCCTTCTTCCCCTAATCGATTAATCGCTCCGTCGATCCCGAGGGAGAACACGCAAAGGATGAAATCTCCCCGAAGGGAAAAAGAAGGAAATAACAATAAATAAGGAAAGTAAAAAACGCTCCTGAAAGAGCGAGAACAAAGAATCTTCCCTTCTCGTAAAAATAAACTACAGGAAACAATCGAGAATTGCGACGTATCGAAGCACAATTTAACATTCACATCATCATCATCATCGTTATTATTCTAATCACTATTCTACCGAAAGAATCCCATAGGCGACGATCAAACCGTGAACCGATTAGAACGAACAACTAGGCGAAGCGAAACAAAATTATAACTAGACTTTCTAACCAAAATAATCAGAATGGTCGTAGCCCTTCGAATCATTCGCCAACACTCCAAAATTTCCCCTGCTCCCGTAATTTTCCAATCGCTTTTCTCGCAGACACGACACAATCACGGATATTATCCGTATTCGTATCCCGTGTCTGCGGTCGAAATTCCGCGTTAAATAGCTTCGACTTGGGGCCGTGGCCCATCCCCCGCGCCAACCACTTCCGGGTTTCCACGCCGTTGAACGGTTTCGCAACTACGCGACGTCACGGGTGGAGGAATTATGGGACGAGCTCGCCGACCGAACGGAAATATTTTAATATAGCCACGGGGATGCGTTTTAATATACACGGAGCGATGTTGCCCCTTCCAGCCTTTTCTCCTCTCGACGAAAGGGTTGGATTTTTTTTTTTTTATGGTTCTATCGAGCTATGGGCCGGATTTATCGCGCTGTGCGAGGGATGCGAAGAGATCCTAGAAAGGGAAATCGAGTTTGCGCCTCGAGTTGGAAAAGTTAAAGGTTAAAAGCGTCTTCTCGACTGGAGAACTACCGCGTCCCTATTTTTCGACCGAGAGGATCGAGGGCAAGTTTCTTTTTCTTTAAAGAACGAAATCGTTCTCGAGAAAAATGCAAACGACGATTCCCGATTAATCGTCGTTAAAGGAATTCGACGAGAAAGGAAAAATTGAAGGGAGGAGGGGGGGAAATGATGGAGAAAAAATTCCTCGAGAAAGAAAATTATCTCGGTCGCGAGGAGCATGATTTCGATTATAGATCTCTTCGCGAGCATAATGCGAAGTATCATTGTATTATTTATCAGGAACAGGTGGAATACAGCTTCAACGCTTTCGAAAACGTATGAAGAAAAGCCTGAGGGAAGATAGGGAAAAAATAAGCACTATCTGCTTGGAGGATCGTAAACAGATAACTCTTTAACCAAACGTGATGCAGATATAGATGTACAAAAATTGTCGTAATAACATTCCAATGCACGGAATACATTTTCGAAAGGGGGATTGAATTATCGGGATAAGATTTTTGAAAACGTGGCGAAACGGGGCCGAAGCGTCGATTAAATCGTTTGTAAGCGAGTTTTCGACCCGATTAATTCCTCTTTAATTTTTTGACCGCGCACGTTCGTTAAATCGACCCTCCTTTTCACCACGTCGCGTGTTTTCCAATAATCGAACGAAACGGCGGCTAATTTAACGCGTCGCGCGCACCGACCGTACAAGTTATGTTATTTAATCCAATTGGCGTGTCAATTTGCACGTCAACCCGTGAATTTCAAAGCGATCGAAGACGGGTGCAAGAGAGAAAGAGAGAGAGAAAGGTTCCAACTTGTATCTCTGCGCAAGGAAGGGAAAAAAAAAAAAAAAAAAAGAACAAAGACGAATAAAGTTAAAAATAAAAGAAACCGGGGAAGGAAGATAAAGGAGGAAGACATGGATGATCGGTTTTTCAACGAAGTATAAATCTCTCTCGTGTCGCGAAAGAGAGACGATATTTTTAAAACGAAGGGGCGCGTAATTATTTTAATTACGAATCGGCCGCTGAAAATAATTCGCATCGATGATGAGATTATTTACGAGTGATTCGAGTTGACGCTCGCCATTTGCGCCAGTTTTATCCCATCGGTTCGTTATAATTCGATAGATCGGATTTACGGTCAAATCGGCGTAAATCTCGTGAATCGGTGAATTTATCGTTGCTCGTGCCCGATCCACGTGTCAATTATTTCGCGACTGTTTATTCAACAGCGACGTTAAACACGAGCAACGAAATGGAGCGATTTTTCTTTCGTCGATCCCGAGGCGCTTTTTTAAATATCGCGCCGCTAGAGAGTTTTCTGCGCGCCGTGAAAAAAGGGAGAAAAAGAGAGGGATCGATGAAGATCGGAGAAACAGAATTCTACCTTAACGATAGAGAAGGTTTTCGTACGTTGGCACAGATGGCGCGAATAGTTCAAACGGAACTGAATAGATCCCCGCGTGGATCGTGGATCTTTTCGAAGCGGGAAACGGAGAATTCGTATTTTAAAACAGCAAGCACATATATGATGTATATATATGTATATATATCATTTTGTAATAAACGAATGGAATACGGTTCGATCGTTAAAATTGAAATCGTACATACAAATCGTGCGATTAATCGTCTGACGGAGGGGAACAGGTACATTTCCCCTCTTTCTCCGCGGCATAACGAGTCGCGCACTCCTTCAACAAAATCTTAAACGGATGCGCAACTTGCGAAACCTCCATCGTTTTATTATACTCGTCATTTTGACGTTTCAACTCCTCCAAATACATCTTCTTCTCCTCCTCGGCTTCTTTACGCCGCGTCTCGTCCTTACACTTCCACTGCTCCTCCAATTCTTTCTTGTAGCACAACATCCTCTCCCTCTCTTCCTTCTTCGCGTTGGCGGTCAACTTGGCTTCTATTTCTATCTCCTTCTCCAACATCTCCTTCTCCAATAAACGATCCTCCTCCTCCTTCCTCTCCCTTTCGCATTTCATCCTCATCTGTATCTCGCGGCCCTCGATCGCGTCCTGCAGAAGCTTTTGTCTAGCCTCCTTGAACCTCTTCACCGCTTTGTCGCGCCTGGCTGCCGCCTCGTCCAGGGACTGTTGCACCAGTCGGTCAATCTCTACGTTCCTCCTCTTCTCCTGTTTCTTCAATTTTTCCAAATATTCCAAATAAGACAACAACTCGGCACGGAAAGCCGCCGTGGTCTCCACGATGGCGGCCTCCTCCCTCGCCAATTCCTCGGTGACGATAACCCCTCTCAAATGATCCATCTCCTTCTCGTAGCGATCCTGCTCCGCCAACCTCGCCTTGGCCAGCTGAATCTGTTCCAGCAGATCCTTCTTCATCTTTTCCTTCCTCTCGCGATCCTTCTCCAACTTGTCGAGCTCCTCCTTGCGAATCACCTCCCGTAGACGTTCCATGTGCTCCACGTCCTCCTGCCGTATCTGCTTCTTGTGCTCCTCCAAAGCCGATTTCCCTGCAATTTGTTTCAACAGAACGAGGGTGTCCTGCTCTTGGAGGAGGCTACGTCTCTTCGTTTCCTCCACGTCCCTCTGCTTCTTCGCCTCCACCTCTTTCAGCATCATCTGGTGCCAGAAATCATCCAACTCTTTGTCAGCCCGCTTCTTAGCCTCGTTCTCCACCATTTGGACGAGATTGATTTGTTTCGCTTCGATTATAGCCCTCTTCGACAATTCCTCCCGGAGGAGCACGTTTCCCATCGTGTACTGTTGCATCCTCTTCTTGGCCAGCAGAGCCAACCGTTGCTCCTCCTCCTCTTTGCGTATTTCTTCTATCGTGCGCCGCATATCGTCCATTCTTGCGTCGGCACCGTGCTGGGCCTGGTCTATCACCTCGTGGATCAACCCCATCTCTTCCTTCAACAGTATCTCTCGCAATTTTTCCCGACGCACGTTCACCATGTCTTCGTGAGATATCAGACCTGAACGAAGAATTATCGATTGCTGACCGATTACACACGTATTTTAATCGAATAGAACGAATCGATTGAGATAATGCTTCTTTTACGATCGCGTTATTTTGAAAGTATCGAAATTTCTGTGAAAGTATTTTTGAAAATAATTCGAAAACTGTGTGATATCGTTTAGAACTTCGTCAACTTTTTACTACACTCCGTTTCAAAAATAATCCTCGCTAACTTTATTATTACACTTTTCTCTTTTCCTAAAAGAAAAAAAAAAAAAAAAAAGAAAAGGAAAAAAAATCCCCCAATCTCGACTCACGCGAAAAAACTTCAACAATCAAGCTTCAACACATTATGCGCAATTCTACACACGCACCTCTTACTTCAACGCGTGTCCTGACGACCAACACCCCATACATTCCTCCCAAGTACCTTGCTGAACGTGCTGCCTGATACCCTTCCTCCTGATCCTCCAGTTCGAGTGTTTCTCGAACTCTATGATCTTCGTCACGTGCTCATAGTCCCTCCTCTTCTCCTCCTTGAAGTTCTCGTACGATTCGGGTATAGGGACCTTCTTGCAACCGGTCCTCTCGCGCAATCTGTATCCCCACCACACGTTCGGGCTGCCGATGGCAACCGCGTTGCATTTCCTCGGCTTGAGGGGGCCGCATTGCACCTCCTCCAACTTGAAGAAACTCATGATTTCTTTCACAGATCGAACTGAACTGACGAGAAACTAGGGGGGGGGGAGAATTAGGTTAGAAATTTCGTTTTACGACGGATCTTCCTCACGGATGGATGATCGACTGGATAACGGTGTTTACGTTACGTTACTACGCGACGACCGCCTCCTATTGAATTAATATTTGAGCCGAAGGGAGGGAGGGGAGGGGGAGACGGCGGGGGAGGCGGTTGATTTGCAACTGCGGTCTGGTTACGGTTCGGTTAGGCTGGGTACACTTGGATCCTTGCTCAATGCCCTGGAACGTGACTGATGCGCACGAACACGCTCCAAGGCGGCGAATAGGTGTTCGAAAGGGCCGTCTCTGGCGCGGTAATTGGATCATTACTGGGAATTAATGGGCTATCAATGGGGCTGGTCGTTTTTCTCGCTTGCCTGCCAAATGTTTCGTGTTCCCCCGTGCTTTTGATTCTACTCACCTCTATCCCCCCGCTCTCTTTCCATCTCGACTCTTTACGCGATGGCGAATATTTCTTCTTCTCTTTTCTTTCGTAAATATACGAGGATAAATCGTTGCACAGGTAACGATTAACTCGATCGAGGATCTTCATTATTTTTCGATCGTAATATTAATCGATGAAAACGATGTGCATTTTACGGATTAACTTCCTTTTTCTACTTTCTCGTTTTTAACACGGCGATCGACATGTTCTCTTCTTCTTCTTCTTCTTTGTTCCAAAAGTTGAATCTCGTTTTAATTTTATCGCGTTCGGATCGAGGGATCGAAAAACTTGGAAGGTAGGAGAAATTTTTAAAATGCATCCCCGCTCGATGGATGGTTGGGCACGTTTGCAACGAGTGAAAATCAATTATCCGGGGAAATCGTGGAATGGAAGGCAAGAGCAACGATGTTTCGCGAGGGAGCGGGGCGGAGAACTCGATGGCAAAGTGCTAACATTGCACCCCCGTCAGAAGTTCAGGACTTCGGCGGCGGGTTCGTCTTTCAAGTTCATCGAGTTTACGAGACTCCGTGTAGTTCGATTACACGCCCCCAGCCATGACTGTAACGCAATATCTATATCGAAGTAATCAAGCTCACAATATCCCCGATTTAGGCAGGAAATTTCGTCGGCAGACGGGGAAGGGGTGGGTGGTTGCACGCGTCGATTCGAGAATTACACGCTCCCCGCCTCGATTCTCTCGCCCGTGTTCGAACGTTGTCGCAGCGTCGTACGAATGATTTTCCACGCGTATTTGCACTCCCTGTGAAATTTCACACAGATTTCTATGGAACGATTGTCGAACGATTGTCGAGAAGAGGGATTACATTGTCTTGGATGATGAGCGAGTAGATTCGTTTCGATTCAATTCGATTCGTTTTGATAGATTGATTTCGTTCGACGATCCCTCGTTCGAGTTTCTAGACTCCTACGTTTTCGTAAGAAATTTTTTTTACAACTTGGAAATTCAAAGAGAGAGAGAGAGAGAGAGAGAGAGAGAGGAGGAGAGAGAGAGAGAGAAG